AATATTGAAAATAATTGTGAAACACACGTGTTTGTGCTGTCTTCTTAGGGTGAATTATGTAAATTTCGTCTCGTAGCTTATTCCAAGATCAGCTAACATAGCCGTCATTTCCTGTGACAATAACTTGTTATTTTGAAGTGCAGACAGACTGCAGTCAGTCTTTTATCGAACTCAACTTCAAAGTGGTAACTACTTCTTCCCATCAGAACAATTACTTTTCATTTATACAGTAGGCATTCTTGAGCAATTTAAAAGTAAATTTAAATAAATTTTGTTAAATGTTCATTAATATTTGATCCCAATATGGCTATTGTCCAAAAACGTTTGAAAATAATCTTCAACATTTCTGTTATTAAGAAGTCTGTCTTTAGAAGTATTAATTTAAATACCTTATATCACGTGACAGTGTGTAATAATTTACGTGCTAACGAGTACAGCCAGTTCTCTCTTTACGAAAATTCTCTTTACGGAATTTTGCTCAGACGAACTTGTCTAACGCGGCTCACGTTCATCGGCAAGTAACATTCCTTGTTGACGAATTCTCTGTTCGCCAAAGCAGAATGTTATTCAGTGACTGAAGCGGGTCCATTTGCCTGTATTAACGGGACGTACCTGGGATTCCTTGACTGCGCCGTTACCGACCCACTGAATTTGCAGATGTCCTCAGACCTTTACACGCACCTTATGACAAGGCGACTTGGAGCTCCTGACAGACTAGCTGAGCGGTAGGAATACCTCTCGATCTCGGAGCTCATTTATGAGGTAATTAGCTGACGATAATCGGTGGTGACAAGTGAGCAGAGAGGCAAGGTAACTCAGAATCACAGGTAAGAGCAGAATACTGATTCGTTCAATGCTTGGTACAAATAAACAGCATAAGCTTACACAACGCACGTGGTTTTCTCCTGGCTGAAGGACACCAGCCTCCGAGTGTAATATTCTAGTAACACAAAATTTGACATGCACTGGATTTCAGTGGGTTATTGTCTTAGACACTACTGTTACTGTTTATCTTATAAGACGTAGTCTGTAGCGTTTAAAGGACAGTAAAAATATTAAACCAGAAGGTGTTTCACGCCCCACGTGATATAGTTTCCTAAACCTCCCCCCGTGACGCTTGTTACAAGGTCACTTTTATTGCTAGACCTCTGGTCATGTCAGCTGTGCAGACGGTTGAGCGTGGCCTTTGGCCACCGCGATCTCCAGACCTCCCCTCGCCAGACTTCTTGTGTGGGTAATTCTAAAAGAAATAGTTCATTCAAATATCCCACTAAGCTTGGAGATACTGAAACGCCATATGGAACGGGCTGTTGTTAACACTGGCTCACAGACACTTTGCAAATTCGCACGATACACAATAAAACGTGAGGATGCTCGTCTCCGAGAAGGCGGTGGACATTTTGAGCATCTGCTACTAAGCTGTTATCCGCATTCTTCCAAACAGAGACAAAACAGAAAATAACATATCTTGTTACATTGATGTCACACCACAAGCTTATAAATTCCATTAAAATTAGGGTTCTACCGTTCAATGGTAACTAAATACCTGTCCAGTTGCTAGGCGATCATAATCGTACTTTGTTGATTTACCTCCATCTTTCGATGTCTACCGATCTAAATTCCTTGCGAGCACCAATTAGGGCTATGTGGAATCAAGTAAGAACTCTTGGAATTGTTCAGAAAACGGCTAAGTAACTGAATTTTCCCAATGTTTTCACCTCGAGTTCAGACACCGAAAGATGATGTTACGGATGATGGTTTTGTTTAAGACGTAATATAATTTTCGTCCTGTTAACGCAACGCGAAATTCACGAGAGACGAAGTTATATAGCAAGTCCGAAGTTCCTATACATTAAAACTCAGTTTTCCACAATTAGAAGTTTGTGAGGAATTTCGAACCTCTCATGATAGAAAATTTACCTATTTGTTGAACGAATTAACTTTTTAAATGAAGTTGGAGTTGTCCTAGAAATCTGTGGATTTAAAGATACTCGTTTCAAGAAGGAAATATAAGTTTTGACAATGTGGTGATATGATTAACGAAGTGCTGTAAACCATGATCTTAGTTTTATCATTATTCTCTGGAATAGAATAAGACTGTAGGCTTACACATAAATACCAATTCTGTTTGAAAATTTAAGGAAGTTTTACCGAAAGGTGACGTATGTTAATTCAATTCGTCAAGTAGGCATGTAAGATCAGAAGATGACGTTAATTTTACGAAGACAAGGGCAGATCCAGTCCTCGAAATGTTATGTGATTTTGTGACATCAGATGATGGACAAGGTCCAAGAACCCAACAATACAGATTGAATTACACCACAGTCGAACTCTTCAGAGCAAATTAGTGGCATAGTGTCCAGTCGCAATTCATATTTTCAACACAGACTTCACAGATCGCAGACCATATCATCACTTATGTTTATATTTAAACCCGTCCAAAAAGAAACGTAGTGATCATCTCAAAGTAATTACGTACTTATGAAGTCAGGGACATCGAAACTTTTGTGTCCAGCATCGTGCCCGGAACAACTTTAGTTCTGAGCAAACTACCCAAATAATGAGCCCAGAGGACCTTAACCTGAAGATAAGAGCGGCCGGAATGTGACGCTAACCATACACCTGCTAAGACTCAGCAACTTTAAGCTGCCTTTCCTCTGTTTTGTTTCTCCTTCAAATTCGTGTGATGTGCTAACAAGGAATTCAATTTTCTTTGAGCCATTATGGCACTGAATGTATACAATACGCCTAACAGACAAATATGAAATATTATAACAAGAGGAAGTGGACGTATTTTCAAATTCTTCGACGACTTTCATAACTTCATTATTACTTTGCTGATTCTGTTTCTTAATACAGCACGACATATTTTCACAAACGAAGTTATATTGCGTATTAACACTGCATATGATATTGACGTCAATTCCACTGTTTTATTTGAAATAGTTTGATTAAACACTTCTTTATTTATTAGTCGTGCAATGGGTCTGTTCCTTTGAAGTTTGATACGTACAAGAATTTAAGTTTACTTGACTCTTTGATTAGTATCGGATTGTTTTGTAAATTTGTTAAACCTTCTTAACATAATACGGTGTTGGTAAAGCACACACAGTGGATGTGAATTGTGTTATTTTCTGTGATGCCGAATTCAATGAGCTGGAAACTCAGCGGAAGTGGACTTCCCAGACGTCAAAGAGTGCTTAAACAGGGTGATCAAAAAGTCACGTAATCCGTTGCTGACTCGTGTTCTATCGGTCAAAAAACAAATGTGAAATTAAGTGTGAGGCGTGTATTCACTCTGTTCCTCCTGTTTGATGCAACCCGGTGATAAAAGTCACGTAATCCGTTTCTGACTCGTGTTCTATCCGTCAAAAAACAAATGTCAAATTAAGTGTGAGGCGTGTATTCACTATGTTCCTCCTGTTTGATGCAACCCGGTGAAGAATTTCTGCGGTGACGTTTGAAATCGATTTTGTTGCAGTCGTAATGTTTGGCACTGGAGAATCGAGAAATGCATCCCTTAAACTCATTCCGGCGACTTATGTAACATCGAGATGTTAGGTCGTGTTTGACAGTGGACACTCGTTGTACTTGTGAAAAAGACATCCTTGCACTTCGACTGCTGAAAGACAACTGACGGACTGGAGCGAGCAGGTTACGACATGACGCGACATGCGTGGGATCTTGTTCCTGTATAGTCACAGCGATATTATGTATTCATTAACCGAGTCTAATTGTATTGAACTGCAATCATCAATAGATAGTTGTCTTTTCGATTATTCTCTACAACAAGAGATGACATACTTGCCACTTAGACTTCTTTAAACGGATGAGAGTTTTCTAATAGTCTGAGATGAATTGATTTCTAGTATTCTTCTTTTTCCTTCGCTCTACAACGCATCTGTAGGTCTTCGCCGCCTCCTTTTCGGAGGCTTCCTAGTCTTTGAAGCGTGCGTTTGTGAGTAGTGAGTGACCAGTCCATCACCTCTGCACAATTTCTAATCAATCCTAATTTTTCAATAACCGACTGCTAGAGACTTAGGTGAGAAATGGCCGCTGAATTTTGCTTACGAAACGTCTCGTTTCATGTCGTAAATCTACGACATGGGACTATCGGCTTTACTTCCGCTCCGAAGGAATTTGTGCTACGGATTTTATAACCCTTAAAAATTCATCGACCTCGGCCGAGTTTAAACCCGCGAACCTTGGGTCCAGCGGCGAGCACGCTAACCACTACTTCACCCTCGTATTAGGCCAGAAAAATTGTAGTTCCGACATTAGCTTCCTTAGGGACTCTTGTACTGAGCCACGTTTTACCATACAACTGTTGATGCAGAACAAAATATCGCACGAACTGCGCTACAAATCTGCTCTTCTGGAAGCTGACTTGCTTAATATTTATGGACGCTTCTATTCTCGAATCATCTATTTTATGTCGTGGTTTTACCAGTTACTGACGTACAAGGATCCAGAAACAAGACTGTAGTCGAGATATTCACTAATTTTGCAAACTGATTTCTTTGAGCACTCACCCTAGCGGCATAGGGACACTTGTGAAAAATACGGGCAAGTGGAACGTTGCGAACAAGATATGCAACTAGCATATCGTAAATATATTATTTAAAAATTGCTAGTTGCTATAAACCAGAGACATTTGATGTTCTTTTTCTTGGTTTCGGCGCCGTGAATACTCGTCAGTAGATGCCAACGTTTAGTAGAAATATACTGTCTCCATCTTCAGGGCTTCCAGTGCCGAGACGTTTTATCTTAGACAAACTTTCTTGCTAGCAAATAATAAAAGATTTTGTTCCTGTATCCCCCCCCACTAAGCACATCGATTGGCAAAGAAGATAAATAATTCTTAGCAGATTTAAAAATTTTGTAAGTAATTTACTGTGATGAGTAAACAGTGGATAAATCTGTATTATTTTTCACCCAACTCCTAACCTGATTTTGTTCGAAATGAGTGAATTGGAGAAAAGAGATGTGGGTACATGAAGTAGGTTTGGCAGTACGAACGTCTTTATTTCCAGAGCTTGTCACACATAAATGTAGTCTACAGAAATGTTTCCAACTCATTTTTGAGGATGGCATGGAACTAAAATAGCAGTCTTTAAGTTGGCAACATCTCTTTCTTTTTTTTACAATATCCACTGATTATTACAATTATGTACATGTACACACACATAATGATTATTTTTTCGAGGTATCTCTACAAATCTCAACAGATGTTATGAATTTAAACCAGATAACCTGTAAATTGTAAATAGTAAATTGTAAATATATTCCGATAGAAGAAACACCTCATTCACAACAAAAGATTCCTTGAGCTAGGTTATGTTTTGAGCATTACATAATGAACCACAGCAAGTTTGTAAGTGTGTCGCACATGAGAGATCTCTATTACTCGAGTAACTTTTTGTTTTACTTATGAAATTCAGCACAAACTACTTGCTATGACTTCTCAAAGATATTTACTCACACACCAATAATTACTTATATATATTTCTTTGTTGAAAAGTTAGCCTGTGAAGGATAGTTGGTTTTTATTTTTTGTGAAACCTTATTTTATGGGGTATCGTGAGGGCAGGGTGACATGTATCTACTCACAAATATTATCACGTCAGAACTTGCAGGCGAATTTTGTATAACGTGAAAACAACACATCACCAATTTATCTAGAACTGAAGTGTGACTACTGATTCATGATTATTTAATGCATGATGATGCAGCAACATACTTTTAACCCTTTGATTCGACTGATAAACGCTAACTTGTATTTATGAATCATGTTTCATGTTCTGGTCGTTGAATGTCTTCCAACGAAATAAAATGTCCGAGACCAGTGAGACTTCAGATTCTAAAGGCGGCGAGTAAGAATATGGCTGTCCTCTGGGTTGTTACGCAGTCTGGCAGAAGTTTTCCGACGTTTCATAGAAGCTGCCTTCACAATCAGGACGATCTGAATCTTGAGGCGAGCTGCAACGCGACTGCTCAGTGGCTTGGTCGAGTTTGGAAAATATTACTTTGGAAGATCTAAATGTTGACGCGAATATAACTGCTTCGAGCAGTGTTATTTCGCCGGTGCGCAGCGACATTTTAACTCGAATGCATTTCTTTAAGTGACCAGCAGTTCACGATTTCGTGTTTTTGTAGCGAGGTTTTGTTCAGTGATCTCATAATTCGGTTTTGCTCTTACTTAGTTAAACCGTCGAAGCTTTATATTCATTCACATGCACTGCACACAGACGTTTTCCTAGACATTCCTTTTTAATTTATATATTTTATTTAGTCAATTTCTGTCATTTATTATTCACTCTCAAATATTGTTAATGTACAAAATTCTGTGTGAACCGCGATACATATTGCAAACCCGAATGAGAAAGTCTATTATCTTCTGCTTGTAACTGCAGTGTAGCCTGGTAGAAGATTCCCGACGTTTCAGAGATACTTGTTGCCTCAAGCGCCATCATTATCGCCCTGATTTTGGAGGCAAGGACTTCTGAAACGTCGGTAAACGTCTGTGAGACTACACAGCGCTGTGACACAGAAGACAGCCATTTTCGGACTCACAGCTGTGAGAACATAAAATTATACAAAAATTAATTCAACAAATAAAAATGTAACAAAATATAGGCCTAATATAAGATCAGTTTATTCACGACGACATATAAACAAACCTAGCGTTAATAAAGGATTTTGTGTTTTTGGTTTGATCGTGTGTGCCACAAGATGACACAATTCGACACACGCCACTGGCAGGCAAGCTACACAGCATATCCGCAACAAATGTTTCTGGTTAATATACTTACCAAAATATTTTAATTCCATACGTAAGGTAACAATTTACAATTTGCTTGGCGGTTGTACTTAAAGTAACTTTTAAACTTATTTTGGTCATAAAATATCCCTTTAGAAATTATATGACAACTGCGAATGAGGAATTCAGAACGTTGACTGCTGACTAAGCCAGGATACCGTCGTGGCATTTGCCTGTAGCGACTGCGGAAAACAACGAGAAATCTTTGAATAGGCGGTACTACAGTTGAGATTCTAACGAGTTACCTATCGAATAGAAATTAAGAATGCAGATCATTACATGGTAATCGATGCTAAATGAATGTCTATTTAAATTTAAAGTTTCACAATTAGATTTTTAGTAGTCATTTAAGAATCACTGCGTTGATTAATTTCAGAAAGCGATATAAAAATTCAAGCAATTCACGCTAATCATCATCAGTGGCACTACAACCCGGTGTGAGTCTTGGCCGCCTTTACGAAGGATTCTCGGTCTTGAAGTGTTCATTTGTGAGTAGTGAGTGACCAGCCCACTGACTGCACAATTTCTACTCAATCCTGATTTGACTACCAGAGCCATCTAGCAGTGAATCGGGATAGATTTTTGTGAGAAATGGCAGCTGAATTTTGCTTACGAAATATCTCGTATCATGATCGTAAGGAATTCAGGCCAATACTGCTGTAAAAATATTTTTGCCGACATTATTAGCTTGTTACACATATATACATATGCTTGAGTTCACCATTTAATTAATGATCGTGAATCAATAGCTTACAACTTCAGGAAACTGATTAATTTACAGAATATGCGCGTGATCGAGGTACAGCTAATTGCTATTATAAAATCTCAATTCCAAAGTGCCGCTAGCAGTTTCACAGAATGGAAATCTCTGACCTACAAACACAGTACACGAGTTTAAACGTTTGGGCAGGAAACAATGTAAGAGTCAGGCATCGGGAGCTTCCTCTCCGCGTAATTTGGCGCCAGCAACTGGGCACAAATACAAACACACTTTTGGAAGTAAATGTCTTGACACAACCTTTGCCTCTTTTTGGAAAATTTATACGGATCGTAGACAAAACTCTCGTCTTTGGCAGTTCATTCAAAATTTAATCCCCACAAAGCAAGTACGAACTCAGAAATATTTTTGTCGTTAAAAATAGTGTTCGTGTTTCATGAACATTTATATTGAAAGTAATACAGACTCACACTTTAACATGGGCAGTAAAATTTGTTAATATTGCCATACGCACAAATATAAAATTCCCTGTGGATAGTAACGAATTTAATTATCGTACTTGAAACTAATCACTTATCCAAATAAATCCTATAAGTAATACAATAATCACGTAACTTCTTCTGTTTCAGAAATATATTTGTATTTATGACCATATTCATCTTTCATCAAAAATTTAAATGGCTTTTTAAATGCTGGCCAATTTTACCTCGAAGTGGATAGTTAATAGCTGTACTGAAAAATGGGAAACTGTTTCATTATGGAAAAACTATTTAATTTACGAACAAATATTCTCCATACAATTTAACCAGCGCTGCCAACAGCAATTTACGCGGTGCAGTCAGATTTTTAAAATGTCTACCAAGAGTTCAGAAATTTCATTCAGAACACTTTTAAACCGAAACTTATCAGGGCGTCACAGAAGCTTCATTACCTAACACACTCCAAGAAGGAGCGTTTATAATTACATAATGCATCATCAAAAGCAGACAACGCGTGCGTAAACTTGTGTACAGACACTTCGCACACCAAAATTTCATTATCTGCTCTACAGTTTGAGATCTCAAATTTAAATCTTACCACGTGCCAAGTGCGGTGTCTATGAACACAAGTTCAGTACGTATAATCTAATCACGCATTTGCATGTTCAGTGCTGTACAGGACAAGTCAAATTTCTTATGTCTACGTACATGACTTACTTCTACTTACCTAGACACGCAACACCAAACTTTATAACAAAACTCTGAACACAATGGCTTCAGTTACTAGGTAATCGAATTGATTGAAACTTCACAGAACTTACAGAAATGTTCATAACAAACGTCCTTATTGAGAACCAAACATTTCCTCAGTTAAATCAACAAATTAGAGTCTTTCAAGGAATCCGAAGGTTCAAAAGTGCTTGCCTGCTTGTCAAATGAAACCAATCCGCGTCCACATCTTTAACACATCTCAGTGTTCTTCATTCCAGCTACGCTTAGTCTCCCAAGTGGCCTCTCCCTTGCATTTATCATCTCTTTATCACACTTCGTCCACTTAATTCCTCTCGAGTTCCTTACACCAAAATTGTTAAGATAAATTATGAGGCCTATTATTATGCAACTTTCAGTACAATATTTTCGTAAGATTTGAGGTTTTCACAGCCGTGAGTATGAAAATTTCTGTCTTCTGGGCTGTTGCGCTGTGTAGTCTGGTCGATGTTAACCAACGTTTCAGAGGTCATACTGCCTCCATCATCAGGGCGATGAACATCTACCAGACTACACAGCGCAACATCCCAGAAGACAGAAATCATCAGTACTTTCCTATTTCTTCATTCCTTATAGGCCCAGATATATTCCTCAGTATCCTGTTCTCAAATAAAGCCAATATAAATTTGTTTCTGAGAGCGAGAGACAGAATTTCACATCGATACGAAGCTTGAGGGACAATTAAAGTTTTATGCACTTTATTTGCAGAAAATGAGAAGCCGAAACTTTCTAAAATAGTAGCAAGAATTCCCGGAATTTGATGTTCTACCAATTGTTTCAGAAGGTAAATTTGATTTATCACTGTCATTCCCAAGTCTTTTAACTTTGCCACATTTTTAAAGAGTTATTTTACCAATTTTATTTAACAATTGTGTCCACTTATCGTAAACCCAAACTGATGGCTTAAATTTTCAGGCTAATTTCTAAAACTTAACTAGTATTATTCGGCCAATCGTACTGTGTAATACCTTACAGGGGTGTCAATGATTTAATTTGTTTTAAATTAGTAAGTTGTAAGTGCTGGAATACCTTCAACGGATTACATAAGTGTAAATGACAACATTGAATTTTAGTTACTCGGCATTAATGACACTGCTTCATATTTTTAAATTTATAAACGCTGTGTTACATTTCTGTCGAAAATGGTCGCTACTTACGACACAAAAAGCCTTAAAATATTGATTTAAATTGAGTGAATTTGACTGTAAGGATGGGCCACGTTCTATTGTTCGACTTTCACTGTATTTGTAAACGCGTTTTTCTGCACGCGAAATTTTCATTTATGATATGAAGCCTCGCCGAATACTTAATGCAGAAATCTTGACTCACGAAGACGCAGAAACTTTATGCACTAAAGTGGGCTGGTCTCCGTCTCCCGTATCTTTGAATGAATATTAACGCTGCGCAGCTAAGACTACGCAGCAAATAAACGTTGCTTGTAGCCTGAGTTTGTTACTGCCTGAAATACGGTCAAAATTTATAGCTGCAGAAAATGTAAATTTTCCGTAGCAGCCGATGGAAACGAGAGTAACATATTGAAATTACGTTGACGATAACTTTAAGAGCAGAAAGAAGGGAGATAAATGCTAAAATTGTTTCGTTTGCTTTATCTTAATGTCCCTTGTAACGGTGCGTCCTCAGTTTGTGAACAGAAAAGGCCTGAAGGTGTGAAGGGTACTTGAAAATTATCGAAAAAATCAGCAAAGGACATGAAGTTAGGTTAGTTTATATAGAAAATGTATCAAGACAAACAGGAAAATGTTGCAATCTGTTGGGAGTACGAGGTGGCACTGAACCAAAACACGATTATAACATAATCTTATATGGAAATGTCGACTGCTATTTATCATATAGGGACACGGTTTATCGTACATAAGGGCATCATGTAGATGGAGTCTGTCAGTGATAAAATGCCGCACATGACACCAGAGGTCGTTGGTTTGATGTTACTGCATTGAGTGCGCATGCATCAACTGAGAAAAAGTGATAGTGGAACCAAGGTTCCGGAGAATTGGACGTAAATACGTCTTTACGGAAAGGAAGTTTATATATTGGCTTTATTCTAAATATTTCCTTTATACAAGCTTTACAATTGAGTAAAGTTTGATTAAGACTTTGCTTATTTAACTTGAATTAGTTACGCTTAAGATGGGTGTGTGGTAGCTGAATGTAATGTAAAGTAATGTAAGGTAAGGTAATATAATTTAATTAAATGTTTTATAGGTAACAACAATTCTGAGTAAACAGATGACGTTTCCTAGGTAACATAACAATGCAGTTACACTTTTTCGTTTCACTTTTTGCCGAATAACACTGACCCTAAAATATAGACGTATTTACCTCAAATAATGTGATTATATAAAAAGCTGTGTTTGTGAGGAAACAGAGAATGTTTCAACAATTCCTCCAAATACAGATGGGAACATTCTTACGAGATTCCAGTGCAAAAATAACAACGGAAGTACGAATACTGAGAATTAACGTTTCAATGAAAGTAGTTACATTAATAAAGTCAGAGAACTATATTTTTCCACGCTAAAACCCTGCCACGGGTACAATGCACCCGCGTAGCAAAATTCTTAAATGCAGTTCAATGTTGTTGATGGAGATAATAGACCATCACATTCATCACGTCTTGATGGACAAAGGTCGAAAACAAAGAACATTTCATGTGCTATCTTTAAAGGGGCTGACTGCAATACTGGTCACATTTGGTACCTGAGAAAAAGTATGGAGAAAGCTACCAGCAAGTTAACGAGCAGTACAGAAGTCTAATATTATTAAGATATTTGATGCGAAGAGACTAAACGATAAATAGGTTAAGAGGACATTCATATTAGAATCTAAATCGGGTTTGAAAACGTTAATAATTTTGAATAACATTGTGGTGATGTATAGGACGAGAAAATGCTAGGGAATGTCAATATCTCAGCTAAAGACATTACAGGCCGTCATTATGATCTCAAGCAGAAGACGAATGCTGAAAATTATTAGATACGTGAAACAGGCTAAATTGTGGTAGCTCCAGAATACCAGTCAGATAAATGGTAGTAACACACACAACGCAAAACGTGAATCAGTCTTCACGTGTAGTAGAACGTAACCATAACAAAAATTTCTGTCCACGTTTGTCACTAAGTAGCATTTATTTACAGCGTATGATGCCAGGCGTGTTTCAACCCCATGAGTTATCCTCAGTTGTTCTAGGTTTGGTTCAACGTTACGTGTTAAAATGTATCGTCGTAAAAATTGTTAAAATGTCACAATTAAGTAATGTTACACGTTAAAATCACAGTTAATTACTTGGTAAATATAAGCAAAAATATACTGTTTATGTTTTAGGATTTACATTTTACCTCGCTTTTAACTGAGTTGAAATTCTGTCCCATCTTCCAGTGATTTTGAGGTGTAGATGATCTGTCCATTTTGTAGGTTATGCGGAAATGGGCGTCCTCCGCGTCGCTTGGCACTTACGAATGGTTCGGTCCGTAGTAAACTGGGAGAGCTCTTGTCGCTAGGTGGTGTTTTGTCGAAGCTGTTACATAAGAGGGCGCTCACTACAGTCGGCACTTTTTTTTTCTTTGCCGAGTCTCAGTCTTACCAACCCACTAATACATTACGGCACATGGTTAAATCCGTATTGGTGATTAAATCTAAGAGCACATTGGTGTCTGGGACATATTATTTATTTAATGATTTCTGCTTGATTTAAAAATGTAAAATATTTACATTGCATCTAGATGCCAAACTTTTGTGATGTTTTTGTTATATTATTAAACATAATTACAAGGGAGATAACACATATGAGCAGTGAAAGTAAATTTACAATTTATTACAATGGTTGACGTTAGTATTCATTAAATTATGAACACTCTCGTATTTTAGATTATATTTAATTGTGATTTTAATATGTAACGAGAAATAATTGTGGCGTTTTACAATTTCTTGGACGATACATTTGGACGTTTGCCTGAAAGAAACAGAGAGCCAATCCGGACAAATGCATGGAACTGAAACTCGTCTGGCATAATACGTCTTAAATAAATGCTGGTGATAAAAGTTGCTAGAAAGTTATGTTATTATTGAAACAAACAGTAAGAACAAAAATATGATGCGAATTTATTAAGGCATAAATATATTTAAGATGGTGATCTGCTTGTAGATTTTCCCATTAATTTCTATAAGAGAAAGAATTATTTCCATCAGATTCTTTTTCCGTTCCTTCATGTCGTAACGATATTAGGCTGGTTGAAATACAAACAACGTATCAATTACTTCCTGAGTCTTGTTGCTTTGAGGCTGAGACTTATTGCAAATTTGGAAAGATATAATGTATCAGGTATCGATCAAATACTGGCATAATTCATCCAAACAGGAAGTAACATATAACGTTCTTGTGTATATATACACATGTGCATACGTACACAAACAAATGTATTAAGTCTATGTTTGTAACATAAATAATTTCTAAAGCACCTGTAGAAATATATTATTTTACGTATTTATAAGAAGTATTTAATATATTCGCAGCTGTCGTTAACATCTGTAGCCGTCACTTCCATTCGCAATCTGAGGACGCCTTACGCCGTTGTGAAAAGGGACTGAGGTGGTGTTTGCTAATATGTGACACTCAGTTCAAATCTTCTTCTTAAATGGGCTGTTACTGAACGTGTTTCACTGCCATAAATCTCTGCATTGCTCCATGTACAACCATATACAAGTAGAACAAAATCTTTCCTTGCTTATGGTTACATTTTGTACATTAAATGTCAGTTTCGTAGACTTTCTAATGGAAAAATGAGGATGAAGATTTTGTGACCGTGGACCCGCGGACCATTTCAGTCCTTCCTGGTCGTCACATTCTTCTAACAGCCATTATTCTCCTTCGTTCGGAAATTTCTCTCAGGCCTACATAAAATTTTTGCATCCTCGTTGAATAACCTTTTTCGAACGCCAACTGACATTGCTAAGGATGAAACAAAATAATTTGAGTGATTGTCTGGTCGATAAACCAAATGCCACGCTCTCAAACTTGTATTTCTCACAAATCAAGCTTCATTTTGACTACACACACGGTTTCAATCGATTCGACCTTGTAACAATATTACTACATGTAAGAATATTATTACTTTCACAGTCTGGAAATCTCATATAGAAACACTACATTTTGGTACACGCCATATTCTTGCGTGTGGACACAGCTCAAGTCTTATATTTATATTTATAAAACTAAATTATTTTTATTACATTCATACAAACTTCAAATGTAACATATCATCATCATCATCACCTTTTATAACTTCTAAAACGATTTCCTTAAATGTACATTCATCACTAAACAACATTAGTCAAACATTATACAATGCATGTTGCAACTGTACATAACACGTAATATGTTCTCGTCTGGACTATGACAGCGAAGAGTAACTATGCTATGCTATATCAATCACCATTTATAAGTGTGGTCACACTTTCAAATTGCCTACAGATTGAGGCTTAGGCCAACTGCATTGTTTGCTTTTCAGCACCAAAAACGATACATGATACATCGTTAAATACGTAATATGTCTCTAAAGTGACGTTAAACTATGCACTAAGATTACCTAAAAGCCATGGATTCTTACTCATTAAAGCTTCACATTACCATATAGCATCATTATCTGATGAACAATTAATCGGGAAAATTAATTTAAATCTACTTCTCGGAAAAGAAACGTCTTATCACATAGTTTACAGTTGTGACAGATATCGGCTTGTCTGCTTCTTAATGCAGTGGACAGGAAAGTGTTTTGAAGCAACAAGTGACCGGGCGTAAAATATTTCCAACATCTGCTATTACACGCTATACAGTCCCACTGTTCCGAAACTAGACTGAGGATTTATCTCCAAGTGTTACGTTAGAATTAATGAATACATAACAGTATTCTATCCACTTCAAAGTATGCCTTTCCATAAAATCCAAATGCGTTTCCTTCTGAAAAAAACGCAAAGACGAAATTACTAAGTTACGTACAATGTAAATAACATTGTCACGTGTCACCAGAATGTGCTCTGTCGAAAGGCTACAGAGGACACAGAAATTCCCCTCTTACCAATTAATATCGTTGCTACTTCATGTGGAAGATTGTATTTGTGTGTCTTACTTTCAAGGTTGGTAGTGGTGTGAGGAAAACTTATGAAATTCTTACGAAGTATAAACAGATCTGGATACAAGAGAATTTATAACTACTTTTATATTTTACCTGCATGGAATTTCTGGGACATTTGGATACCCAATTTACGTACTATATTGATTCTAATGTAGCAGTCAGAATATATGTGGGGAATCCGCTTTACAAGCACTGGGTACGGTTTTCATACTTTCATATAAGTTGGTAGTATTTATATCACCTTTAATTATGAAAGCTATATTTTCCATATTTTCATGTCGATGCTATTAAACACACTTCATATTTTTTATATTCGACACGTGAATTCAGCCCTGATCTTCTGAAATGATCGCGTTTTTAATTTATATATTATATTAAAATTCTGTGTGTGGAAAATGTACAATACCATACCATATATTTCAAAGAAAAATGTAGATTCATAAACAACCTTGTTGCCATTTTATTACATATTTAGTATTTATTTTCATTTACAAATACTACTGAACAAGAAAAGGGTTATGGTTTAAAACAGTTTTTACTTATATCCTGCTCAAACGCATTCTAGCGTTACAAAATGGAGTACCGAACAAAGTAAGTCTAGGACGCGTAGATGTGTACAAGAAAACAGATCTCCAAATTCTCTAAAACATTCACAAAACGGGACAAACACAGTTAATTAAAGTCTTAATATTCTGAATCTTAAAAAACTCCTGACTCCGGACAATACGCTGTTACCAACATGACTACAAGAGTAACATGAAACAGCAAACAAACTTACACAGATGAAAAATAGTTCAGTTTTTGTGCGTATTTATTTGGACTCTTTTCGAGTTGATGTGAGAAATAATACATAAATCCTCAGTCTGTTCATGACGTGCCAGCGCACCGAGGTCTCAACATAGAAACAACATGACACATATAATGAACATGTGGTATGAAGACACGACCTTCACAATGGAATTTGATACACATTTTTAACTTCTTCAGGAGTAGATGTCTTTAAGGTGCAAGAATCGAAAGTCTAGGAAACAGTGGACCGTAACTGCATGGGGCTGACGCCCGTGTCATTCGACTTGCGCACTGCCTTTCTCAGGGATGTTGAACACTCGTAATGTCGTTGCAAGTACGTCTCATTTCCATGGACCTCCATCCAAAACGTGTCCTCAGTTAGCTGTCTACAAACAGATAGCAACAAAATCTATAAACAACAAAAATACTGAAGTATTCTCGAACAAAAACTTGTTACTTTTCCAAACAAAACCAAAATGAAGTACAGCTAGCTGCTAGCTGAATGTAAAAAATTTACAAAATGAGAAAACATAATTTCACACACTGAATTCGTGTAGTAAGTCGAAAATAAAATAATTTAATATAAATAGTTTTCTTCAGATTTTACAAAATCTTAATACAAAAAGAGTTATATAACGTCCATTGGGTTTTCACAAAACGCTGTGTTCCTCACTGAATCCACGCCTTAAGCACAGAAGTTGTCTACTGCCATCAATATCTGACTCATTTCTTCCTCTGAAGTATAATTAATAATTAACCAGTAATTGTACCCCATATTTGACATATTAGAAGAGTTCTTGAAGCGGACGTGACTGATGTGTAAATAACGTTAAGTTTGACGTAATGGTACTTTTAGTGGTTACATTTTATAGTTGTTAATATGCTGAACTCACATTTTATAATGTTATTCTGCCAAACAAACTTCTCCGTCTTTTTCATTCTCAAATCTTAATACCGTAGAATTCCTTTCCAATACCGAAATTTTATTTTACGCAGACCACATTCAGTAAATTTTCCATGTATAAATCTAAACACATGATAATAATGTTGTAGGAAATAATTAAGTCAGAACTGGTGTGGATATACGTACATCCACGTACCAAGTACGATCTATAGACAAGACTAATAGTAGTTCATATTTACAGTGCACAAGATACAACATATTAAGGTAACTTATATGCATTTCATATATCAATAACAGCAATGCTATTGATACCAATAAATTCGATCTTTTCATTTTTCCTACCCGAAATCGAATCTCCATCTTTGTGTGTTTCAAGATAATTAAATGTCCTTGGAATGCATATTTTACAACCTGAGAACATTATTAGCAATTACACGCTAAGTTGTTTTTTTTTAAACAATTTAAAATCTCTCGTCATACAATTTTATTTCCTAAAACTATGACAACAGTGGCAAAATACAATACAATTTTTCTGTGCTAATGAAATACCCATCACTGAGCCGAACAGACCAGCACAAAGTTGCACCAATTTATCTAAGTGGTTTCACGGACTACGACACTTAAAAGATTTATACATTTCTCTCTTGTGGAAATTTTTATCTAAGTTGCTTAGAAATTCTGCGCACGATCAGTTCAAAGCAGACGCTCTGACACGTCGGACAAGAAAAACTCTGCTATACCACTGAATTGACGCATGAAAGGAAAGGAAAAGAAAATGAAGCAAACGTGTGTGTGGGCATGCACCCTTGAGAACCACGCTCTGAATCTGAATATGATGGTCGGTCGTTCTGAGTGACCATACTTTACTAACAAATCACTCACATTTAAACAATGCTACTCAGATTCATTCTGTTGTCTACTACGTAGTGAGACAAGAATGCGCAAATTCTGACGTGTTCAAATGGTAAATTTGGTAACTCAACATTAAAATGAGGGGCAATTACACAAATTAGTTCACGTGTTAATAAGTAAGGTCATTACGTCGAAAACACTAAAAAATCCTTTTTAAGTTTTGTTGCGTGTATCTTAGATCCACCCTGAAGATCAAAGCAGCTAGTAGCAGTTGTTTTTTTCTAAATGTTGTTTACCCGAATGGACACAAAATTAGTGAGCTGGATAACGGCCTCAGTTGTCAAAGTTGTTAAGCCTAGTTTGCAGTACCTGCGCACAGCCATTAGGCTTCAACTGGCTTCTCAATCTGTTAAAAAATACGACGAAACGATTTACCACAATCTACAGCTACCATGAGGTTTGCACATTGTATGAGGAGAAACGAAGTCCTTTGTACAAAATATTCTTTATGTGACAAGATAAGTTTCTATGCGAGTAAAATGAATGTAGTGCCTGCGAAGAAGCTGTTAAACAAAGACGAATCTAGACGCGTGTAACGTTTTATGAAGCTTCATACAGACAACGCGTTCCTTATTGCGGGTCTGTAAGCCTGTTTCAGTCGCTACTCGGCAGTGATCTCGACACATGAGGGGCAACATAACCACTCTTCTGGTCGATATCGATAAGTGTTTTCATTTGGTGTCCCCAAAGAGTGTAACTCGCTTTTAACAACTTTGCCTGTATGAACGGACACTCGCCACTAATCACAAAACGACACGTCATTACCGGAAACAAAATACACAATTCAAAACGCTATATCATCAGATTCATAGCTTTTTAATTTTCTATGAGTCAATTAATTCTAGAAATCCTGAATATAACATCGTCCTTCCCATTCAACAAAAATCTTATAAGGAGACCATGCAAAGTTTCGTTACCACGAAAAGTTATTTCACTTTAAAATTTGTGTCCAACTTTCTGTGTAAAGGCTGTCATTAATTTTCAACACATTCTATAAATTTCACCTACCACAAAATGAAATAACTTGAATACTTACTACGAAAACAAACGACGGGCTTATGTGACCACGGACACTGGCCTGGAACACGATTAATTCGAAAAGGATATTTAAGAAGTTAATCTGAGGTTATTAAAGCGAATACGTCATACGACATATAATGCAAGCAGCTATAAAATTAAACTGAATACAGCAACATATATTACATACATGCATTAAAGATACGAATTTCTAAACAATCACTAATTTCAGAAAAGTTACACGATAATTATTGTATGCAATAAGGCTACTATGTACCATTGTGCGTTATGACATATTATCCGCACTTTTCCCACGTTAAGAAATCGCGTTTATCAACTTTTAGACAAGGTCATTTAATGGTGGTTTCTTTTGACTGTACCTGGAAGTCGGAACGCCATTAGCGTATTCAGCGAAACGCGAATTTACAATCGCTAATTTTCAATGTCAGATAATTTTTCTTTTTCACGTTTCTGTTCCGTAGTTCCAGTGCCTTGAATCATCACCTGTACCACATAAATAAAAATGCAAATCAACTGGAAATGGTAAATTGCATGTAACATGGCTCAGCCATATCCTTACAGTTTTATATAAAACTAACTTTGTTATTAATATTAAAATGTACAGTAACAATTTATTAGATTTTCTCCCGTACCACAAATTATTTAAAATAGAGTACCAAGGTGACCGTCTACTGAGTTTCTAATTTAAGATTAAATATAATTACAATACTAGTCGATGACCAACGCGAATTTTTAGAGACGCATGCAACTATACAATGCTTTAATGCCACTAAACATTTTCACTAATGCACTAAAATTGTGTTATATGTCTACATAGTTAAGCAACACTGTATGGATAGGTTAGGTTAGGTGCGCGGTGTTTGCCAACAAATAAAGCTCTTGGTCCACAACGGCGACTTTCAAGCACTGGCGCTGGGGTCGCGTTCACTACAAACTCCTTTCATTTCATGCGCTTCACCTGTTTTGTTCTAGACACATTAATTATTAGTAATTATTTAAATACTTATTTCTTAGTGTTATATTGCAGAAGTTTGACAACTAAATGCATATTTAGAAATGTTTCTTTTTTCGAAAATAAAATGTAATTCAGGTGTCTGATTAACTTTCCTTAACATATTGTACGGTATATACATTATAGAGACGTAATAATTTGAAAATATGATGGCTTCATAATATAGATGATAAAATATCGATGCTATCTTTGCATCAAACTGAAAACAATTTATCGGAAAACGTATGGAAATATGCTTGAAATAAATATTTCATTAGAATCGCCCGTCGGATCGTAAAACGAACAATAAATTTTACCCTGTTACATTAATGTTATTATATTTAACATTTCTCTATTGACCTTTGAGCTCTGAGCCCCCTTCAACGATCCAGGCCAACCTGATTCGACCCTTTAACCTTGTAATCTCGACTGGACCTGAGCTCGGGGACCAGACAGCTGACCGCTTCGGTCTGCACCACCGAAAAAGGCTACCCGCGAGCTCCAGCAACCAGAAGCTAACCAGGGCCGCACAACTGCAAAACAATGGCAGATCGTCGCCAATACAAAGATGCTAATGAAGGGATTTCCTTCTTAAGACATCATTTCCCTGGATGTGGTGGGAATATAAATTTCGGTTAATCCAAGATCACGAGCCCAATTTGCTCCTAGACTCCGGTATTGTTGAAGATGTAAGACACGGACGTGTCTTGACCAGGAGGGCGTCGTGTTGACGAGTTGTTGTTGTTGACGTAGTAAGACGATTTGCGCATGCTCGTAGTGGAGGACATGGCAACGGACTCGTAGTACCTCAGATGTCCGCAGCAGCGCCTGCTCTTCAAAATGGCGATGAAGCCTTTCCGATATTTCTTGTTGAAGAAGGCGTACAGAATCGGGTTTATGCAAGAATTGGACGCGCCGAGCCACTGGGCGATTGGCGTTGCCACCAGCAGGATGTCGTCTTCCCACATCTCGACGTCCCCTCCCAGCTTGATCCGTGCGAATATGACGTACAGCGGCAACCACGACAGCACGAACAATATGACGACAGCCACCAGCATCTTGACGACTTTGACCTTGGATTTCTGTTGCATCCTCTCCATCTGAGCGTCCTTTGTGTCTGTAGGAATTGTGCGTTTCCAGACCTTGACCCAGATTAGGATATAACACAGGGATATAAGAATCATGGGCAGGATGTAACAGAACAGTAGGTTGGCAATGAGGAAGTACAGCGTGCCGTCCAGGGCGTCTGGCCACACTTCCACACAGAGCTGGACGTCCGGTGCGTCGTTGAAGATGATCACCAGGTCAAAGAAAAGGGCCCAGGGGATCGTCGTGGTGAGGGCGATCACCCAGATGAAGAAGATCATGAAGCGGGCCCGCCGCTTGGTGATCTGGCACTTGAGGGGCCACCAGATTGCAAGAAATCTGCGGACGAAACAAAACATTCAACTTAGAGTTATGGTCACTGCTTCCTTTTTGTAGTGTAATAAAAAGCAAGTGTAAACATGAGATCTCCGTCGTGTCCTAAGATACGAGAGATTTTAATTTTGTTTTCCACTGATGTCACTAATGATACCAAGATCGCGTTGGTTTCTCCTGCAGCAAGTAAACAGACCAAAATATACACAGGACTTGTCATTCTGAAGGAATAACAACGTGCTATTATTTGGTAATTTTTTTAGAAACATACATATATATTATTTGTTGTTTACTTATTTCTTACAACAATTTCATTAATTTCCATCAACGACGATGCTTACAAATCGGGAATATTCATACATGCACCTTCTATACGTGGGAAGTGAGAACAGCGTATTAAAGGACACTCGATTTCCGCATCAGAAGTTTCCTAAACGCCGGTTGGCAAATGAACTAACCTTCGAATGAGTCAATCGAAGGACAGGAAATTTGCGACGTCACCAAGATCGCGAAGTTCGACGTTGACTCCTCACAGATAACAAAGCGGTTCATCTATAACGCAGGGGAGGGCGGAACTACCGCCAGGTTATGCTTAGAAGCAACTATATCCATGCCAGTGGTTGCTAATCTGACATGAAGACACTAATCATTTCACGTTCGGATTTCTTTCTCGAGATCAAACGATCTGCTTGTTCAAACTACCTCTCCACAGCACTAGGAAACAATATGTTAACTGTTTAGCAGAACATTTCAGTTCTCAACTTGAGAGGCTGTATTTTGTCACACAAAATTTATTAGCAAATTTATTGCCTGGAGACATTTTAAGTACTCCAGAGGTGTATGAAGATACGTGTATTGTGGAATTTTGCACCATGAAGACTTGTACAGGTACTGACCGACGTTTCAGATGAGCTCACTGCCTTCACCATCATGGGATCGCGCTAATGGAGGCAGCCATCTTCAAATGCCTTGCTTGTTCGACCCTTAAGTGACAACAGAGATGTCCTTGTCGGTCTCAGGCAAAATGTGACAGTCTAGTGCACCATGAGGCCCGAAAGCCCAGCTGTGCAGAACTCTGAGATTGATGTATTAAAATGCATTTTTTTGGATTCTTTCTTATTCGGCGAACTAGTGGCATCTTCTGGATCTACAAATAAAGTTGAAGTGCAGTCCACTTAAAAATGACGCTGAGCTCTTTACGTCTGTTTACAGACTCATTCTTACAATCGATGGCACAATGCCCTTCTGTTTGGATAGAATTCAATGCTGGTGGATCTCTTGTGTTTGAGAGTGGGGGGAAGCGTAGGAATTACAGATCATAAAACAGAGCACGGTCCTCGGTTAGCCGCATAAATCCTCAGTGTATAAATTCGCAGAAAAAAATAATGTTTTTTGTCGTACAGGGAGATTTCTAGGACTTTTACAGGACATCGCAACAGAGTGTTTTGCACACCCCTTGCCTTAGTAATCGAATATTATAAAATATCTGAATGAAAGTTGGAATATAATAATCCGTGGCGTAACAGCTCCAGAGAGCCAAAGCCGACTAGCTTGATTACTGGTCTCACGTTCACATGCCTAAGCAGAGGTGAACGATCATCCAACCAGATACAGGATGACGTGTGGTCAGCACGACGAACCCCCAGCCATTGCTAGCTTTCCTGACCGGATTACGCTACTCATTGTAGCTCCCCAATTTCCTCACGATGCTGGGTTGGCACCGGTCCCATACACTGGTCGAAAGCTCATGAGAAAATTTCTTTCACCGAGACTCGAACCAGCGCGCATTCCGTATCACCGGTCCGAAGCATGATGCCTCAGACCGCGCGGCTACGACCCGGGAAAAGTTGGAATATAGTGACACAAAATTAATTTGTGATTTTGTTTCATTTTCTCGTATACGATTGTAGATCCTAATTTCGTTTCGTCTTTAGGAACTGATATTTCTTTAAATATAAATCAAATGAAAGGAAATAATTATCATAATAATAATTATACAAAATGATGAAAGTAAGAAACGAGTCTTGTAGGAACACGTGAGACGATCAGGTGCTGGTGGATGCAAACTGCAAGGAATTATCCATCGGCTGTCGTTGGAAGATGAATATTAGGACCAACGTTTAAGGGACACGCGGTGCAGGAGAAAGGAGAAATTGGCATGATGAACATCTTCATACATTGCACTTTCACGAATTTCATAAGGGTGATGGGTGCGATTGGAAGACACAAGAAATGCATACATAATTTTTGAAGGCGTAAATGGGAAGATATTTTTGAGGAGTTTCTTAAATAAATACGATATGGCGTTTAGGATGGGTTCATCTAGATTAGAAAGGGGTTCCATGGCGCCCTCTTGTTAACTTGATATTCAACCTCCAGGACCCAAAGAATGACTTAAATTTCTTGATTTCTATTGACTTCTTTTTCCATGGAGTTTGGAAGAAGACGAAGAATGAGGATTTTGCGATTGACTTGGAGCGTTTTTGTTGAATATATTTTTAATAATACTAATAATATAAATTTTAAAATGTTTAACGCTCGTAATACGGGATGTGATTGTTTACATATGTTGCACATATATATAATGATAATGATTATATTGTCAGTAAAATAACTTATTTTTAGATTATATACAAAGCCTTTTAAACTTGCGTATTTTATACGGAAAATGTAACTGTCAGGCTCACCTTTAAATAGAGAAAAATTGCGAATAAGAAGTGATTCAACTACACTTCACGATGATGATGATGTTACCAGGAATTAAATTCTCAGGTCAAAACACAAATAACAGCGTTGTTTGCTTGTTAGTGTTATCTCTGCTTTTATGACAAATAACTCTTTATTTTTTGAGAGCGGAAAATTACGCTGATGGCTGATGTAGTCTGGTATGACGCGTGGTTGGTTGCGCTCACATGAATGAAACAATTTGCAGCTTTTACGAAAGATAGCAGAATCTTCTACTTTCACAATGATGCTAAAAATAGGCGAATTTTTGTTGTTAAAATAGGATAGCTAAGGCGCTGAAATTACGTGGTGAGAAACATGGCTCGGACTTGAACTGTTTTAAGTTGAAATTTACGGGAACAGGATATGTAAGGAACGTGGGAAAACAAGAAAAATATGTAATGTACGAAGAAAGGAAAATAAAATCATTCCCTCTGAATATCAATAAGCTCTTTCCAGCAGTAGAATTATTTTCCAAAGCCTGAACGTACGCTACTCTACCTGTTCGTAAAAAAGTAACTGTCGATGACGTCACTGAACAAGATGTTCCTAACTTTCGTCTTAGCAGTATGAATAGAATGTACATCAAAGCAATTAAAAACAAGTATCTTCGAATTTTAAAGAATTCTATATAATTATTTGGAATTATTTATTCTCCTCTGTATTTGTGTGCTGTAAGATATTTTTGGATTTGAACATGGAAACTAAAGAAGCAATGGCCAACGCCTAATTTACTCAGCATTCACACAGAAGTACGTTAAGGAAAAACAGAAGAAGCAATGGCCAACGCCTAATTTAGGCAGCATTCACACAGAAGTACGTTAAGGACTGAAATAGGGCTAGGAATGCGTGACGGACGGACGGACGAGTGGTGTTTTAGGAGCAGGGTTACAACATGTGGGAGAAATGAATAACGGGCAAGCTCTTCAAAGCAGAAAGCCACTTCGACGACAATGCGTAGTATTCCCATAGAGAACTTCACTGGAACACCCACCAATACCCGATGCTGACACAAAGAGAATTAAAATAAAAAAAGCAACGGGGTTTTTACATTGATAATTTTTAATGGAAAGTTAAAGGACGACTTTGGGGCACGAAAATTTTGAAACACCAAAAAGTCGCAAACAACGAAACATGGCGATGTAGCGGAGGCTTTCAAAATTTCGTACCAGATGTGAATTAGAATTCTGAGAAGCCGTAAGCCTGAAATGTATATTTTACAGATTTTATTTATAAAGAGACCTGAAATAAAAATAGCACGTAAAGCAACAACCGTTTTAGGGTCTATTTGTACGTATAGGAACGTAACGATAACGACACGAGACCTTGCCGATTTTTCAGAAAATATTATTCAACGTTTTTCAATGGAACTGTTTATATTGACTCCCGGCTCGTCCGTTCCACGAACGAGTCTCGCCCAACTTACGTCCCCAACGATATTTTTCCTAAACAGTTCCATTGAAAAACGTTGAATAATATTTTCTGGAAAATCGGCAAGGGCTCGTGTCGTTGTCTTTACGTTCCTATATAAATAGGCGTTAAGTGTCTTCATGCAAACAGCATGGAGCTGCAGTGTGTCGTTTTAGCAACTAATTTATTTTCGGTCTGTTAAGATTTTTTATTTTTATACACATGGAGGGGTAAAGTCGGATGTGTCATGTGGAAGATTTTGTAATAAATACTGTGGACATTGAACAATATGTAAGCCTAAAACGTCAGTGTTGACTTGTTTGTTTGTATTTCTATTTCCTGTTTTTCGTCACATACGTTAAATTTAGTCTTCCTCATTGGTAAATTGAACGTAAAATTACTTGAGCCAATTTTCAGTCGCTGAGAGACATTTTCTGTCTCATGCTGTTTATTGACGAAAATTCTTCGTCGTCGACGCTTTGCGTCGCTGTCATCGTTTGGCGAGGGCTCCGAGCTGAGAGTTGGCTGAAGGATCGTCGCCGTCGCTTTGTACGGGTGCGGGTGGGGGGACTTCGGACATCTGTTTAGATTATGTACTGAACACTACATACAGTCACTGAGAAATCTTCACCATACGAACATGAATGTACTAAGAATAAATATAGTCTGAAGTGGCAATTTAAAAGGCAGGATTTACTTTCTGCTTTCTTTGTTAATTTCATTACAAACAAGGAAATAAATTGATATGTAATGTTAAAATTGCTTTCATTTCGTATGAACCCAGTTCCGTCGGTACTGAATTACGGCTCTGAATCTTGCTGTGTAATATTTAATATAAATGCACTTTTTAATAACTATTTCATAAACGTTAC